TTCGACCCCATGGGGGTAACGAAATGCTGCCAAAAGTTTTGAAAAATCAGATAACCCATTTCTCTCCACCTCCTCACACACTTATTTATTTATTTATTTATTTTCTGAAATTTCTTTTTATTATTTGCGGCATCTCTAGTGTGCTCACCTTGGTCTCTCCTTTTCCCTTGGCGCATTCTTGACCTCGTGGGGGGTAGGGAAATGCTGCCGAAAATTTCAAAAAAATAAATATTGTTTTTTCCGTTTCCATCCTTTTACTTATTTCTTTAATTATTTTTATTATTCATTTATTTCCTTAATTATTTTTATTTTCTCTCGAAATCTCGCTGTTTATTTATTTTTCTCCCGCTTCCCCCCCCCTATGCTTGCTCCTTTACTTTCTTGATTAGGTCACCGGTACCCTACCCTAACCACTTAAACCTCGGTTAGGGTTTTATTAGGGTTTTGTAGGGTTTAGGGTTCTTCACCCCCCCCCCCTACTTCCCCGTCCTCTTCGGGCACCCTGGACCCGAACCATCCCTCCCCCTTTGACGGCGCCCGCGCTAGCCTTGCTAGCGCCGTTCGCCGCTTTCTACCGCGGACTTCCCCCTACGCCCTCCGCTCACGCGGACCTCTTCTGGCCCCCTCCAGTCCGGTCCGTCATCTCCCCATGGCTGACGGTGTGTCACACGCCGTCGACACGGCGATGACCACGRCATCGGGCTCCACACCCGTGCTGGCGGACCAGGGCCATCAGCCTCAGGGGGATCTGCACACCCTCCTCACCTTCTTCCTGGCGCCCATCCAGGCGCAACTCGCGACCCTCGCGCCCTTACAGGCGCAGGTGGCGACCCTTGCCGCCGGCGTGCGGCAACTCTAGGACGCTGGTCGTCCTTCCTCTCCTCACCCTACCTCTTCTCCTGGCTCCCAGTCCGGGTCCCCCGCCTTCCGACAGGGTGGCCACGGTGGAGCTTCCTCCTCCGCTGCCCCCGACCCGGCCATCTTGGTGACCGTCCACGCACCTAGCACGACGACCGCCACGAGTCAGGCCCTCCCTCAGTCCACGGGCGCACCCACCCAGATTCCGGTCACGACGGCCACGGGACCACAACCCGCTACCATGGTCTCAGCTTTTCCGGGTGCCCCACTTCTCCCCCCTCTTCGCACGACCGCAACGCCATCTGGCTCTTCCCCTTGTGGGATGCCTCGCGCCGCTCGTGCGTCCCCCCCTGCCACACCTCGCTCGACCTACGTTCGAAGTCTCGAGGACGAGATCGCCCGGCTCCGGACCGACCTCGCCCTCTCAC